ATATGTATTTATATTTATTCATTTATATATCAATAAATATATGTATATATGTATTTATATACAGACATGTATATATAGATATATAGATATAGATATTTATAAACGCACACAAGCAGAAACAAATCTATTTCGTACAATCCTTACCAATCTGAAATGAACTGACAAGCGTTGAACCGAAGCAGAAATCTACATCGTTATCTAACTGAATCTAACTTTATCGGTGCGGAAGGAAACGTCAAGAAATAACTGGGTTGGGTTACTACTAAATCAAGAGTCATAACCTTTTAAAAATCTAACTGCATGATTACTTTTGTGTCGCGACAAGTTGTTCTTGTGTCTTGTAGATAAGATTATGAGCTTCATGCAGATTTGTAGAAGGGAAAACGGATCAGAACTTTGGTTTATCCTAATGTGCAATAAATTTCAGGATAATATTAGTGAATCTAAGTATATGCTGTAATGTTAAAGATTGTTTGATATGATGATATTTCGTGTCGTAACCCAAGGATGAAAAATAGTTCACGAAACACGTGCAATTATACACACGCAGGATTCACGCTGAACAAATAAACCAACGAAGGAAAAAAGAAAAAAAGAATGAAAAAATGAACATAGTTTTTCACTCTGTCGCTTCTTCATTATCTCTTGAAGGAATATAATGAGAAGGCCATCGGTATACTCGTGTATTTTCTGGTTCTTTTCGTTGTTTTATTTGCGTATACAGGGGTAAGGTGTAAAGACACACACACAAACACACACATACAAACACAAACACATACACACAAACAAAACACACACACACACACACATACAACACACAAACAAACACAACATCACAACAAATACACACAAACACACACACACAACACAAAATACATACACACATCTCATTACATATACCATATATGTATATACCATAAATATAAAATCACCTGTGGATGCATATCATTAGAACATCATCTAAGAACATCTAAGGAGATACAGACCAGGATAAGTACCAGTACTCTAGGGTCTGTAGAAAATACCAACGTAACATTCTGATACCAAACGGATGGTCCCCGAAACCCTATGGAACCTCTACGGAAATGTCTATGATAAACACCAAGCTGGAACGTTATAATGCGAATATTCATTCTAAATGCGTTACTTATAAACATTGCTAAGTTGGTAGTCTGCCAAAATTAAGCATAGAACATAAACGAACAGAAATAAAAAAAAAGAAAACAAATCGTACATGAATCAGAGGCAAAAATATTTCTTCAAAATAATACCAAAATCCAAAAATACCAAAATGTTGCGAAAAATACCCCCAGAGCACTTAGACAACTAAAATATGTATCCTAGCCGAGTCACACAGTATATGAAAATTGTTTTACTCTGGCTTCCTTCCAATTCTTTTACTCTGGCTACCTCCTTCTTCCTATTTACACCTTCAATCGATTAATCTTTTGGCAGAGAATATTCTCGTATAAACTAAATCAGCTCTACTATCTCTACAGTTGATTTGTAGCGATCTTGAATACTGAAATGTGGTCGTGAGCTGGAATAATGGCTACACTTGGAGACTAAATCGTTGCTTATTGTCATTTTTGTTGAATTATTTGCGAACATATTTTAAGCGTTCTGATTTTTTTTTCTGTTGGTATTGTCAGTTCTTGCGGACACACACACACACACACACACACACACACACACACACAACACACACACACACACACACACACACACACACACACACACACACACAACACACACACACACACACACACACACACACACACACACACACACACACACACCACACACACACACACACACACACACACACACACACACACACAACACACAACACACACACACACACACACACACACACACACACACACACACAATGCTCCTACACGCAAACAGTCTGAATTAAAAAAATGATAAATGAAACATCTAGAAAGTGTCTAACTAAAGTTGTTTTATATAATCTCATTTTCACCGCATTTCCACTCACCTTCACAAGTAAATTTAGCGAATTACGCAATAAATATATATATATATATATATATATATATATATATATATATACATATATAATATATATATATATATATATATATATTTATATATATATTATATATATATATATATATATATATATATACATTGTATGTATATATATATACACACATTTATGTGCATATACAGTATATACACATATGTGTTTGTGTGTATGTGTGTGCATGTATACTTATATGTATGTGTGTGTGTGTGTACATATATATGTGTATATATATAAATACATAAGTACATACATGCATTTGTACATATTTTCTTTCTATTTATTTATCTATATGGACATACTGATGTTTACCCAATTCACTTTTTCTCCCCTTCATCCTTTCCTCATTACTTCGTTCCTCCTCCACCACTACTCCCACCTCCTCATCTTCCTCCTTCTCCTCCTCTTCCTCCACCCATCTTCATCGTCCTCCTCTTTCCTCTTCTTCTT